TGTTTGAGTATGACATGAAAAATTGTTAACATCATATCTAATTAATTCAGAAATAAAGAAAATATTTTATCAATAATTAGAAATGCATTTCTTTTGAAACAAATCAAAGAAGAAGGGAAAAAGTGTGAGAGGGAAATGGAGTACTATGGGTTTGGTGGGCAGAAAAAAGGAGGTCCATGAAATGGCAGAATAAGAAGAAGAGAAATAGCAAGTTGGGGACAAACAGAGCCTTTGAGATGGAGCTGTGGGAACCTGCTTTCGTTATGGTGTAGAAGCAGACCATGTAGGGAGTGCAGAGAGGGCAGGGAGCACGGGAGAGAAAGGACAAATGGGAAACCTGGCACAGAGGAAAAATGACAATATTAGTCCCTGACATGGGAAGATGGCTATTGAGAGCTCATGAAGCAGGGGTAGATGAGAAAGTGAAGGCTATTTAGGTGTGTGCAAAGAGTTACAACAGAGGGCACATGTACAGAGTACATTGTGGGCAGATGCTAACTTGGTGCCACACTAGTTGCTTTTTTTCTTTCATGGATATGAAAAAGCATGTGACTTCCAGCCTCTGCGGGGGTTTAGTGTTAAAAAGTGACAGCTCAATCCATGTAGCTACAGCTGAAGTCCTGATGAACATGCGTACCAGTAAAAAGAACTTGTTTTCAGATACTTTCCCCCCCTACTTATTTGTGGTGTATATTTCTTTGTAATTTTGCTGCCTTTTTTGATCATGGTCATAATCTCCACTTCATCTTCTGAATAGCTGCCACTGACGTGTTTGATAAAGCTTTCATTTCTGTTAACAAAATATATCCAAAGCCATCAGTAGCCTGAGTTTTCCAACACCTGCATGTAATTAAAAATAATAATAAATAAAACCCAGTGAAATGAAAGGGAAGAATAATTTTCGTAGAAGTAGGACCTGTGCAGCCATTTTCTGGGTGCTGGTGACTGAAGGCCATTTTCTGCTACCATCTGCTTCAAGAATTCAACAACCTTCTTGTGATAAACCTACAAAATGAAGTCTAAGGAGGTATCACACATGAGGAAGATAAGATAGATGAGAGGATGGGATATCTGTGGAATAATATTGCTCTTATATAAAGGCCTGTGTTAGATTTAGTTCATAAGTTCCTTGAAGCCTCTGGTAAGAGTAATTTTATACTTCAAGATACGAAATGTTCTCTCCTTTTGCAAACCCTAGGCCTCCTTGTTTTGCTTTTCTGTCTCATTCAATTTTACTGCAAACTTCTGATGACTTTAATACTCCTGCTGTTTGCAGACATTTCCAGTATCATGCTTTGTTAACAATGTGGTGTCCCTTCCTTCCACCACAGTGTCTGCTTTCAGCAGCAGAGGTCAGGGGCTCAGCCCTCTGTTAAGTCCCTAATATCATACATGCTCTTGAGTATATGTCCGGTATCATACACACCTCTAGCTATGCTCTCTGGTCAAATCAAACATAACCTAGGTTGAAGTAGCCTGGTACATGATCACATCTGGAACACATGAAGGTTCAGACAGCTGAAAGGGTTACTGTGTGGGACAGCATAGGCGCAATAACAGTATGAATTTATAGTGCCACAGTAACCTGAGGGCTCCCACAAGGAAAGGAGATTACATGAAAAACATTCTGCAGCTTCACTCTCCTGTGTATTCCATGGCATCCTCCTCACCTGTTCTCTTCTTCAGAGAAATGCCAGCAGATCTTATCCGAAAGGTAAACTGCAAGTTTTCTACAGAACCATTTGTTACCCTTACTTGGAGTAATCTCATTTTTTTTCTTTCTCTCTCGCCCCAGCATCCTTCCCAGCTTTTGTCAATATGACAGAAGATATTCACAAAGACAGTCTTTCAGAGCACCACTCCATGCCAGTGTGCTTGTTTCCATACAGCACTGCAGTCCTGTGTCACATCCCACATGAATCTCTCGTCTTTGTTCTCAGCTGTAGATCAGTCTTTTGAGAGGTGACAGCTTCTCTTGTGAATGTGGTAGTTAGTTGGAAGCCAGCCCATTTTCCCTTAGGGTATGACTTCAGGGAAAGAAGAGCACCTCACTTGTGGTTTTGTAGCTAATTAGATCTCTGTTATAGCTCTTGTGTCTTTATTGTATTGCAGTTTTCTTTCAGATACAAGCAAAAACAAAAGCTGGCTGACAAGATCAGCTGTAGCAGACTAAGAAAGTTGCAGTGGTCTGAGAGCTGATAAAAAGCATAATGTATACAACAATGTTTTTCACAGATTTGAAAAACTCATCTACACTTACCGTATCTTCAGGGAACACCAAGGATATTTTGAAATACAGGTGAGTAACTCTTATGTCTTCTGTAAAGATTGCACTAGATGTCATTTTCTTGATTTAAAAATTCAGTGTACATGAAGACATTACCTTAGCAAGTATTTCCAAGTTTGCTTTCTTTATTCAATTCTTGACTTTTTAATGTTATGCTTATTATTACATATGAGTTTAGAAGTAGAATTCCCTTACAATCTAAGTGGATCTGTTATTTGTTGACCAGCTGCTTTCTGATTTGACCATTTCTTTTTGATAGCATTGAAGAAAAATCTATCACTTTTGTTTCTTGCTCCTGTTCCTAATTAGCTTTTGCTATTTGAAAACTCTGCCATTGCACCCAGCATCTTATAGGGATTTCGAATATTGCAATGATCTTTTTGATTTAGAGAGACCTACCTTAAATTCTGTGTGGTGCTGAGCCTCCTGAAGTGATGACCACAGAAAATGCTGCTCATTGCTTGAATAAGCCTAAGAGCAGGCTACATCAATCAATTCCCTTGGCATGGTGAGAGAACACTTAAAAAGCTGGCTCGCTCCTTGGCTTGTAGGAGGACAGCCAAGAGGACTGCCAACAATTAAGTAGCATTCAAGTGGAATGAGGAATTCGCTCCATAAAGGACACACCAAGCTCCCATATGCTGGTAATGTCTTGCTTATTAGTGGTTTTGACTGAGTGTGAAAGACACAATTTCCCATGAAGAAGAATATTCTTTGTCAACAAACCAATCTATTTGGACTATAGCCACTCTGCTGCAGTTTGCTGTCATGCCTATCAGCAGATAATAACTCAAACATTTCCAAGTGTTTTCAACCCAAATTTTCCTGACAAGGTTTTGCCAAGAATCATAGAATCATAGAATGGTTTGGGTTGGAAAGGACCTTAAGATCATATTGTTCCAACCCCCCTGCCATGGGCAGTGACACCTCACACTAAACCATGTCACCCAAGGCTCTGTCCAACCTGGCCTTGAACACCTCCAGGGGTGGAGCATTCACAGCTTCCTTGGGCAACCCATTCCAGTGCCTCACCACTCTCACTGTGAAGAACTTCTTCCTTATATCTAATCTAAACTTCCCTTGTTTAAGTTTGAAGCCATTACCCCTTGTCCTACCACTACAGTCCCTAACGAAGAGTCCCTCCCCAGCATCCTTGTAGGCCCCCTTCAGATACTGGAAGGCTGCTATAAGGTCTCCACGCAGCCTTCTCTTCTCCAGGCTGAACAGCCCCAACTTTCTCAGCCTGTCTTCATGCGGGAGGTGCTCCAGCCCTCTGATGATCCTCGTGGCCCTCCTCTGGACTTGCTCTAACAGCTCCAAGGGAGGTCTGTTTTTCAAATTCTTAAGTCAGATTGGTTTGTCTTGCTAACATCATAGACGAAAATAATATATTGATGGTGAAAGGGATATTGATAGGGTTTTTTAAGGGCCAGATTCAGCTGTAAACTTCCTAGAGTATGGTGGTTTGACCTGATCAGCAGCTAAGTATTCACACAGCTGCTTCCTCCCTCCCCAGCAGGACAGGGTGGGGGGAAGACAACTTGACCGGCAGAGGTGAGGAAACTCAAGATAGAAGTTTAATAGGTGAAGCAAAGTTGTGCATACAAATTAAAGCAGAGAAGGAGTTTAGTCACTCCTTCCCATGGGGAGCCAGATGTTTAGCCACCTCTTGGAAAACATGCATAATGGTTACTTAGAAGACAAATTACATAACCACAAACATCCCCACTTTTCCTAAGCGAAGTCTCTGCACAGATCACTGCAGGGCTGTGCTGTGGTAGCAGTTCAGTCCAGCTGTATGAACCCACACGTTCAAAAACAGCTTGTGACAACACTGTTCCCCCGCCTAGGAGTGCCACCCTCTGTGTTTGGCCTCAGGAGTCTCCAATGCAAGTCACAAAGCTGGACAAATAATAAGCTTCTGCCTAAAAGTGAAAGCCGCTGCTGGGGACTTCTACACGGATCCTCTGGCACATCCACAGCTTCTGCACGTGTCTTTTGCCTGACAATGCTGATATTTTGTAAAACGTTTGGCTTCTGCTTGTCAAATAGTTATTTAAATACAACATTAAGTGAGAACTACATACATTGCCCCTGAATTTGTGTTCAGAGACCAGGGAGGTCTGTAATGCCATCACTCTTCGACACTGCTGTAGTAGATTGCTGCAGCATGTATCTGAGACAAATTTTAAACTGATGTTTTTTATTAAAAAAAAAAAAGATGGTGTGGTGAGGAACTTTACACTCGCTGCTCTACACCATGCCACCTAATAGGTGTTCCTACTGTTTAAAGGATAGTGCAACATTCTGTCCCCAAATCTATGTGCAAAACAGCGCCTTGGTAAACCAGAAACAACCTATCCTTCCTTTCATTTAGGTGTCTCCATGTGAAGGGCACTTGCAAACAAACTTTATTTTCCTTTTGCAGGCTTCTGAAGGTTTTCCAGTGACCTTTCAAACCTTAAAGGACCTAATATACCATTATGAAAAGCCAAATCAGGGCCTAGTAACAAACCTCTGCTACCCAGTGAATAAAGCAGAGGCCACGCACAGAAGCCAGAGGTTTAAGTCAGAAAAGGATATAATTTATGATGGTGAGAAATTTAGCTCTGCCTTTTTTTGTTGTTGGGGTTTTTTTGGGGGGTTTGGTTTGGTTTGGTTGGGTTTTTTTTAAGATGTCTCCACTGACAGGTTTGGGATGAATAGTTGCTAAGTGTCCTCTGATACCAACTTACATGGATAGAGAAGCTCAGCATCCTTCCTTCTCACATTCCCTGGAAGATGTTTATTCCCAGCTTACAGAGAATCCCTGGTTACATACCCACGTTCAGAAGATCCATTTGCAATCACAACTTCTTTTATTTTATTTTACTGCTTTCTTTACAGAAATTGATGACAGCGACTATGTCACTGTCCTTCCCTGAAGGATCCACAACCCGATGATTTTGGAAGCTGCCATTTCAGGCTGTGCTGCAGCACAAGGGATCAGTACAGCTCTCAAATTAGTCTCCTCCTTTTGCAGACTGTCAGAGCAGAAGCAGCTGTATTTTCCTCCAGCAGGTCCAGTACAAGCTACTATATATTTTTGTTCAGCAATAAAAGAACTTATTTTTGTAAGAGACACATGTGGGGGAAGCGTACCTGTGTGTATGTATGTGTACTTTGGTTTTTCAGTTAGCAAACTGTCCAAGATGCCTACTGCCGAAACAAACCATGTGTCAGAAAGCAGCAATATAAATACAATAAACAAATGCGCATAAAGCAGTAGTTCACAGCGGAACTGATATGTATTGATAAAAAACATAAACGACAAATATTCTGTTGGCACTATATGATGCTTAAAACCCCCTCACGTCTGTTATTTTGTGAATAATTCATGTTACCACATTGTTGGACAAATGGGTAGTATTTCAGCTAAGTGGATAGTATGTCAGGGAATACTAGTATTATCCTGTAGTTTGGAATAATCAAAATTAAACCCAAAAGGCCATGTTAAATCTGTGCCATGAAGAATTAATCAACAACATGAAAATGGTTTGAAATACTTTTAATGTTGACGAATTGTTTTGGTAGATTGCAAGAGGAGCACAAGTTCTACATGGCTGTCAGTATGAAGACATCCTTTTTTTTAATAGGTACTGCACATATGAGAATCCTTACTACATTTCATATGCTACTGCCATTAGCTCCGCGTTACAATGTGTATAGTTCTTGAGGTGGGTTTTTTTTCACGTAAATGTACTTCTCTGTGATCCGGAGGAAGACATTTATATTGGCTTTGTGTTTAAGTTATTTCACAAATTGAATGGGCAGTACTTGTTAGATTTATTTCTGTGCTGTCTCTTTCACACTGCTATTTGATAAAGGACTCTTAGATCTTTCAGTACTTTGGACTTTTTTGTGAATTTAGCAGTGGTAATGGGGTTAGGAGCCACACTCAAGTGGTACTTCTAGAATGAAGAAAAAATATAAGATTATTGATTAATACAACTCTGGCAACGCCACAAATACTAACACAGGTATCCAATAAAACGTGAATTGTAAAGAAAGTAGATGTTCGTGAAAAATGGACTGGAGAGGAAAAAAAACCAAAAAACCAACCAAACAGCCCCTGCTCTGTAGAAGCACATACACTGATGTGTGTCTCTATTTGAAGAACTCAGCAGACCCCTGATAGTTGGTTACCAAGTGTATCAACTGAGCAGCTGCCACACTGAGACCCCCCAACTTCAGCAGCCTGGGCTTTATCAGCACAGCCTGTCCAGATCCCTCTGTGAAGCCTTCCTGCCCCACTCAAGCAGATAAAAACTTCTGCTAACATGTGGATCGGCTGCAGTGTTTCCATAGGTTAAATAGGGCCTGGAGCAACAGCTGGGGCAGGACACTTTTCCAAAGCAGAGCTGTCGGTGGTTGGAGAGTGCTGAGCGTCCCGGCGCCACACACACACCC